AAAAAAATCTGTTCAAGCAATCTGATTTTTAATTTCAACCACAATCTTTACACCACTTTCTTCAACTTTTCTAATTTAAACAGAAAACAACTGGTGGCAACTTGCCATGAGTTTGTGGCAAATTGCCACCAGTTGGTTAATGTGTGGTTCGGTTCTACCCCAAGTAGTTAGCTTATAGCCTGTTCCTCCATATTGTGGGCAGGCCGTGAGCACCCAGCAGCTCAATTTAATTCTCCAATGTTGTTTGCACCAACACTCAGCAATGGAGAACCTTGAGATTCTGGTTCTCATGAACTTGAATAAATCCAGACATTTCATTTTGTCTTACAGAAATCCATTACTGGCCCAAACATAATGATAAAGACTCAGATCAGCTGATTATTTCGCTATGCATACAAATGTAATTACATTCAGGCACTTTAGTTTTTTAAAATGTCGAACCATTTGGATTTAGGTAATGCAGTCAAAATATAAACCGACAGCCACTCATGAACTTTATGTATTTATTTTTTAATCTAGAGGCAAAATAAGATTCACATCACAAGCTAATTAGCAAAATTATAGCTCCGACAGAAGGCTAGCCACAGCTTCACTGTTTCTCTCTTCTATTGCTATCCGTTCTTCAGAGCTGTCGCTGCAAGCTGCTAGCAGCAAACAGCTACATCACAGCCATTCCGGCTAGTACTACCCCCGAAATAGGTACGAAAATCTGAGCACAGCCAGGCAGAGCTGCGGCGGATTTGCCAATTGAAAACAAATCTGACTGGGGCGGACCGGGACCGAACCAGTTAGAGGCGGTCTAGTAGGAAAGTGCCTATAGAGTCTTGTCCACTTTGGCATTTGACAAGAGGAAGTTGGAATCATACCTGCAACCTTCTGCTTCAGTTTAGGTCACTCTTCTGATTCATCAAAGACAAAGACAATGGGCAATAAATCCCCTGCTGAGCAAAAAGTGAATAAAGGTCCATTTCACAGTTTCCAGAAAAATATGTTGTTTACCTTCAGTTCTTTGTGAAAAATATTGTGCCAACACAAGAGATGAAACAGGAACATTTGACTCATTGTGCATGTGACGGTTGTTTGTGTGACACGGTGCGGCTATTTAGCTTCATAAGAAATGTAACGACTTTCTGGAATTGATGGAAATGGTTGCTTATATTGTCACTTTACGCTCAAGCAGCCCTGGGTTACATTTGTCATGATGTGTATTGGTGTTGGACTGAAATGCAGCAGGTTGAAATGTTGAGTTGAATTTGAAGAGTTAATGAAGAATGAAAATAACAAAAAATCATAACAAAAATTTATGGAGAGTGCAGGGAGCCAGGGCAGAACAAAAAAACAAACAAAATAAATCACAGGAACCAGGAAAGCAACAGGCATTAACAAGATTTAGCAGGAGGAACTAGTAAGGAAGAATGAGAGACAGAGGTGATTAAATACTGAGCAGGTGAATGCTGGAACAATAAACCTGGCTAATTGACTAACAGGTTACAAGCGTGAGGGGAGAGAGCAGATAGCAGGCTGAGAAGAGAGAGAGAGAGAGAGAATGGCACGGGGGTGATGTAGGTCCAGCAAAGACATTTTGAATGGATCTGGAAAAAACAGTTTGTAAATATAAGTGTACTACAAACATAATATATGCCTCATAAACTAAAAAATAAAATTAAAAACAGTGCAAATGTAAAACCTTTTCCCTTCAGTGCAGGGTCATGATTTTTTTCTATAAATCTTTACTTTTTTTTTCAATCTCAGAAAAAAAGTTGTATCTACTTTCAATCAATTGGTGCGGAATGAAGCATTTTATGCACAAGCTGTGATTTTCTCCCTATTTTTCATCGTCCTGTAATTCACTTTGAAGGAATATTTGAATGTATCCCAAACTTTTGATAAGCAGTACCGTCTCTGCTGGGCAGTGACTAAACAGGTTCTTGCAAATGAGCCTCACAGCCCATCAGAGAGAGGTCAGCTTTTAATCCCAAAAGCAGCAAAATCCCTCCAATGTCTAACTCGTTTCTAAGTGATATTAAGTCCTTCTGATTACCTACAATCCCGTATCGTTCCCATATTATTTTGGATAGCAACGCTACCCTAAAGCAGACAAAGAGTAGCTTTTCAACATCTGATCAGATGCTTAAAAATGTCAGCGCTGACACGGTGAGCTTAAAATTATAATCAAAGCCAGGGTTTGATCCCGGGTGTAATCTGGTAAGCTGATCTTGTTTCCACATGTTGTTATTGGAATCCAGATGTGTAAAGCTGGTAGTTACTAAAATGTGAACACACTGAAACACTTATATAAAGAAAAAAGAAATCTCAGCCATTATTCAATTTCGAGTAAAATGGAGAAAAGCATAAAACTCTGATTTTCTAATGACCTTGACTTAAACCTAACCTAACAGGCAGGGATGAGAAAGGAAAGTCTCAGAGTTTCAAAGGAAGTCTCACATCCACACATGCACTTTTATTACACCTGGGTTAGTTTATGCTTCCTCACGTCCGGGCTCAGATCTCTCCTGAAACGTTAGCACTGTTCACACACACTCACTTGCAGCTTCAAACACATTCACTCTGTAATCCTATCCTCTGCTACAACATGTCGACAATTACGTCAGTTTAAAAGAAGCTAAGCAATTTTACATTATGGACCAAGTCAATCACCACAGATTGCAGCAAAACAAAACAAAAACAGTTTGTAAGGTGAATTGTTTCACTTTTTCATAATAGACAAAACACAGACATTCACCAGATATCAGCTGCTTCGGCACATTTGCAATGAAAGGCCCTTGGAAACATTAAAATATGTGAAAACAATTAAATAAAGATGAAGACATCATGTTTCTCTGTTTAACATCTGCTTTTCCTCCAAAATAAAATCTAAATTAGAAACTGGTTAAAACAATACATGTGGGAAATTAGAGGAAGAGAGAAGAAATAAATTCCAATAGTCATCCAAGAGATTAGAGTCCTTTAACTAGGTTCCTTTGTGGTTCTTCATTTCCATATAAATGGATTTCACAGCTCCAGGATACAACAGATTTTTTTATATGTATAAAATAAAGGAAAAGAACAGCCAAAAGAATTTGGACTGCTTCAAATCCTCCTCATAAAACATTGGTATAAATACTGATTTCAGTCCCAAAAATCTAGAATCAAAGGCTGGATAAAGGTTGCTTTAAACTGCCAGGTGGATGAACTGACATTTTTTTTCTTCAAACGAGAAATCAAAACCAATAGAAAAATAATGAATATGCTAAGGTGCACAAAAAATATCTCTGTGCATTTCAATCTTGATTATGTTACCTATTATTTCTTCAACCTCAAAAAAGAGCGGTTAGTTGTCTTTCTGTGGATTTCTGTTTTGCACCGCAAGGCGTACGTGAATGGCATAAAACACCAGAACTGTCTCCAAAACTAATGTGTTTTAAAGTGTTAGAATAAAATTAGATTTATTTGTTATCTCACTTTTATACACTATGTACAATGGTTTGGCGTCTGTTCCCTCAGTCTGGGCAAAATGGATGCATCTCTTTCTAATCTGTACTTTGAGTTTATAACATTCATTCACAAAGACTTGTCTAATGCTTGGAAATTGACAACAAGGACTTGCTATTAAGCCAGTTGGAGAATCAACATTAATACTTTTGCTTGGGTTTAGAATAGGTAAAAAACTTGACAAATAATTTTACTAAAATTAGCATTGTCAAATCACAAAGTTCACCTTCATTCAACAGCAAAAAGGTGAGCAATACACTCAAACCTAATTTTACTCCAACCATTTCCTATTGTTAATTATTATCAGAGTTCTGCATTAGATACAGACACTGAAAAAAATTGATGAGGATAGGTAAATAAGAAAGGGGAATTCTAACTTGTACTTTGATTTTGTGAAAAAAAAAAGTGTATTCATATAAATTGTGTTTTTCAAATTTCTGCAAAAATAGGGTATTCACAAGAATACATAAAGACGTACATGGAGCAACTGTATGTAAATAATTGTTCTTCTTTTTATATGTTTTATACTTGGAGTATGAACAGCAGAGCTGGCATTGCAGTCCGAGTCATGATTTCTGTGTTCTATGTCCCTATGTTTGCCTGTTTCCAGAGCTAAATCAGGTTTCAATACAACATTTTATGTAACACTGATTTAATAGGATTTGTACTGTAAGATTATGCCTGTCAAAAATGGGAATTGATTTTAAGGAACTTTTTTAGTTATTACAGGATACAGAATACTAGTACTGTGTTGTAATTTGGTGCTGCCATCACAAGGTGGTGGAAATGCAAAAAGTTGTTTTCCATCTACTGTGAAGCAGCTCCGCACGCCTGCTGGAACTAAGGTAAAAGGTGCTGTAGTATACTCTCAACTCAGATTGTGCAAAAATGAAGAATAGAAAATCAAAGAAGCACACCAAAAAACTGAGGATCATTGTAAATAAGTCAGTTAAATGTAGCATATTGTAAGTTTATATTAGCAATCACTGTCCTGTGAGTCCAAGCTTTTACTTGAACCTTGGTCTACTGATCAGTAGTAAATAGTTAGCTAAAATATATAGGCATTATCATTAATAGTTAACCTTTGGATGTAATAAATTTATGTTCATATCTGTATGTACCTTAAATTTATGGCTAACCAAGCTGTCCTCAATTTATATTTTCTTCAAATGGCTACATACTTGTCTGTGGAAGTTGTTCAATATATTTTGATTGTAATCCATTTTTAAGACTGCAACAAAGGAGAAGCAAAATACTCATTAAAAATCTTCAATGGGATTCCCTGTGGAATAAGATAAAAGATTTTCTTAACTGCTTTGTGCTCATTTTTTTTTTTTTATGAGAGCTTATTAAAATGTATCCCTCCACCCATATATATATATATTCAAGTAACTTTTCAGACCGGGGGCACTAGGACCTGAGCTTGGTGCAGCCACAGAGATCTTGCAGCCTGTAAGAAGTTTCTCACTTTCTTTCTGAACAATTTTCAAACAAGTGCAAGGCTCAGATAGGAGTGCTTGGATTAAAACGGTTGTGCTGCTCTTGGAGTTCTGTGGAAGTGGATGTACAAACTGGGATATATTTCAGGAAGCTTCATGAATTCTACATCTATGGGAAAAGATACTTTAGAGGTAGGTGGATTAAACTCTCATTTACAATGCATGAATTTGCCATTACACTGTAAAAAAAATAAGCAACCAAAAAGCTCATTATTAAGTAAGCAAACCATGTTATGTTTTAAGTTTATATACGCATAACATTTCGTTATAATTTTAGTTTAGATTTTTATTGTAAATTAATGAAAATCACCTGTCATCTCTCCTCATCCTGCAAGAAATCTACTAGGCTTAACTGTGTTGTGTTACAATAGAAGTGATCAGACTTGCTCTCACTTCCTCATGCATTCCTGCAAATTGGTGTATTTGAATGTCATCTGAGGTTGTAAACAAGAAGCTAGCTGCAGGGCACTTAACTGAAATAATATACACCAACAAACCTACTGCAAATTATTGCATAATTCACATAAAAGTCAGCTATTAGACTCAAGATGACTTCATCTGGTACTCTTGGAAATTTTAACAGACCTTTAACTATACATATGGAAGCCTTTATAGTTGCTGAGAAAATCACTTAAAGTTCTGCATGCTTACCAGGGTGACATCGCCAAAAGTACTTGGCTTACAGCAAACGGGTCAGCTTCATGAAGGAGGTAACTCAGATATGCATTGCATGATTGCGAACTGGCATTAAAAGGAGAACGCTTATCAGAAAGAAAGGCTTCTTTGCACAGAGACAACAGAAGCAGTAGTCGGTTTACAGCAACAAAGAGGGACAAATCAGAGGGGGGTGGGCTGCAGGTAGCAAGTTGCCCATAGAGCTGAGCTTGGCTGATATGCAAACATACAAATGCACAACTTGGATTTTGATATGCAGTTTCTTAGTTATGGTTAATAATCTTGGATTATATTTTCCATATAGATTCAATAGATTAAAAACACTCTGATGCTTTGCGGTAAGGAGCAAAGTGTTTTTTCTTGCTTATAGCATCTGTGAAGTATCAGAGACTTTTTTTTCACATGCTGACAAGAAATGTTGTGGTTAAACTTTTACTGGACAAGCTACAAAACTGGATACCACATGGCTCCTCGTCTCAGATTTTTGTAAATTATTTTGTGTTGTCAGGCTTTAAGTCGTGGAAAAGAATACATGTGCAGACATCAAAGCTTAGTTCAGAAAACCACATGATGCTCTTACAAAACTTCACTGGCAAATATTGGTAGGACGCCTGGAGAGTAACTTAATATCCGCAACGCTATCTCAAGTATGCTGAGTATGTGATATGTTTTGTTCTTAGCATGCATTTCACTACATGTTTGATTTATGGACCATGGCTCACCTAAAGCCACATGTGTTTGCACATATAAATGTACCATTTGTCTCGCAGTGAAGACTGAAAAGTGCAGTCACAGTAATTAAGCCTGAAACGCAAAGTCAAAAATGCTTATAAGGTGGTGGGACCTTGTTGATGGCTCTTGTCCTCATCTAGCATTCTGAGATGTTTGAGAAAACTTTTCCAGAAACGTCCGTGTTTTGTTCCATGTAGCACTTTGATACAAAAAGAGAATTACCAATCCATAAAATCTAAATCATTCTAAATATTAGTCATCAAGAAAACTTGAATTACTTGATCACATATCAATGTTTTTCCCTGTGGTTCCTTTCAGTGAAGTTTTCCACGAGTGAAAGAACAGGCAAGTGAGATTAGCATTCTTTTGACAGGTTACACAAATGTCATCAGTCTAAAAAGAGTGAGAGTGCAACACTATCACAATGGTACCAATGGATTCTTGACATTCAAAACACAGTATCTTAATATCATGTCCTGTTTGGGTTAGATCTTATCTGGCCGATCAATCCTACTGTGTCAACATTTTAGACACTGAATATGCGCTCCTCTATCTTTTGGGGTCCCACAAAGCTCAACTTTAGGGCTCCTCTTTTTTTTTTTTTTTACTTTTATCTCTTCCCTTGGCTCCATAATAAGGAGCAATCTAATAAATCGCTTTCCTTTTCTTTGCTGATGATTATCAGATTCAAAGTAAGCAAGACCCATCAACAAACTCCCACCACCTTAAAGCAGAAGGACAGCTTTTCAATGAAAGCCTTTTTGGACTGCTTGGATAATATTAAAGTTTGTTTAGTTCCGAATTTCCTGAATTTAAATGAAAAGAAAATAGAGGTTTGGACCAAGAGGGCCCTGTGATTCCACCACTGTTGATTTGGGACCCCTGACAGCTTATTTTAAATCAACTGTCACCAATGTGGGTTATAAGTTAGACATTGATCTTAAATTGGAAAGACAAATTGAGCCAGTTGTAAGATCGTGCTTTTATCTCCTAAAACGGCTGGCAAAAGTTAAATCCTTTCTGTCCAAACCTCTCTTTGAAACAGCGATTTTATTTCATCTCACTGAGATTATTGTAATGGACTCTCTGTTGGAGTGAGTAAATTATTTCTCTTCCTCTGCAGATGGTTGAAAATGATGCTTCATGCCATAAACTAGCCTTACTTCACTGGCTCCTTGTGCATTTTAGAGTCCACTTTAAAACATTTTTGTTTGTTTTTTAAAGAGCAAACAAAAAGTATTATGCATTTTACAGGCATGATTAAATTTTATAGCACAATCAAGTAACTATGTTACCTCCAGTTGTTATAAAACTGCTGTATACATCAAACATGACTTACAAGAAATTTAACTTCCCAATTTAATGCTCTGAAATTAGGACTCTTTCTCTTTAAGAAGCTCCAGCTCTTTCCAACACATCACATTCAGCACACCATCACAACATAGCTTCTCCATTAGGCTGTTTACAACCATTCTTACCAGCATTGGACTGAGAAGAACTTCTTCTAATGAGCTCAGAAGATGTGCAGTTCCATGAGGCATTTGCTGATTGCTGCTGCTGCTAGTCTGGAGGAGTTGAGTCGGGGACAGACAGAGGAGGGGTGATCTGTAATGCAGAAGCTCGGCTTGGCGACTGTAGCTTCAAGGAGGAACTGCATGGAAAAGATGGCACTCAGTGAGAGTTTAGGCCCAAATGGTTGCTGTGGGAAATTAAATGATTTTTCAAGCACGCATAAAAGAATGATTGCATATTTTCGATGGAGGAATAACTTTATAACATGATGTAAAGTTCAGAAGAGTAAATTTTACTTAATACTGCCCCTTTAACTAGTTGCATTGTGTTTAATCTTTGATTGTGCCTATGCCTTATTTATATTTGATTGTTCTTTTTTGTATTTTTATTTCCTTAGGTGCAGCACTTCGCTTCAGCTCTCACTGTTTTAAAGTGCTATTTAAATAAAGTTGGTATTGCATGGTATTCAGATACTGGTTGTGCAGGCCATTGAAGCTTACTACTTAAGTTCAAAATGCAAGTTAAAAAGCTTTCTTCAGTGTTTGCTTATTTGTGATGCGCTCCACGGTGTATCATTAGTCTACTTGTACCAAAATATTTTAACGAGAGCCCTCAAATATTTGGAACCAATATTTGTGCAGTAGTGAGCTGCTACGGCCTGCACTATCCTACATTCCAAAGCTTCTTATGCATGATGTTTGGCATGAAAAGTGTGTAATTGTTCTGCGAGGCGTTGTGACTTCTCTGGATTTCCACATCCTGAGTTAACAGTAGAGTGAGTTAGAGACAGAATGAGACTAAATTATTTTCATTTGTAACTTATGGCGAATAGAATAGAATCAGGATTGTTTTCATTGGATTTTTGGTTATGCAGTCATTATTTTAAAGTATAATGGCAGATTAGTTAAAACAATCTCAATGACTAATTTCTTCCCAAAAAGATTCACCGTCCTGAATGAGTTTGATATATTTATTTTACAAAGGTAATTATTTGAAGATTAAATTAAAGAATTTGTTCAAAATCAATAACCACTTTTAGAAACAGGATAATAGGGAAATAGTTAAACTTAAAACAGGAAGGGCATCTACTTAATAAAAAAATAATTATCTTTTAAAATAAAAGTATTTTTTATTGTTTTTTAGCAGATATTATAGAAAATATTTATTGGATAACCCTCTTCTTCTAATGTCTCAGACGAGCTGACAGTAATTACACACCATTACAGAGGACTCTGTCCCTCCTACCTTCACAGTCATCAAGCTTGATAATCCGTCTTTCATGTGTAATCATAGCATCATCTGACTTTCCACAAAAACATGTCTGATCATCACTTTCTGCCTCAGGCCCACTTCAAAGACCTGGCTGCCCACTTAAAAACACAAAAAGAACTAAAGGCTACTGTTAAAGCCTGCAGACAGTTATCTCCCCTAATGAGTCAGAGATACTCTCTACTTGCTTTAGAAGGGCATTAATAGAGAACACCACATTTAGGAAAGGTGAATCTACAAGCAGTGAAACAGGCCTGTGCCTGAGCAGTATTGTGTCTTTCAAGCGAAGCCCCCTGCAGGCTGCTGTATTTTATCATTCTACGGTGAAAATTACTAGAAGACCACACACATTCACATTGTGAAAGTTTATAAACTCTGACTCAGTCTTATCCTGAAAATGATCCACGTTCGAATTCAACCATCCATGTATAACTTCTGCTTGTCAAGATATGTTCACTATTTACATATTTGTGTAATTTGTTGCATCTTTGAGTTTATAGAACATTTGTACTTTTTATTGAAAATAATCCAACCCAAAAGTAAAATCATTGATCGGCATTGAAAACTTACTGTAGTTTCTCGATTTAAATTATTTAACTGGCATTTTTCAGAGTTTTAAGTTTAAAAGTTTGCTGAGTTGTTGAGTCCAGACTAGTGAGGAAAATTTCTTCTGGTGTGAAACTGTAAAACCATGAGCACCACCCCGAACCGATCGCATTGCCACACATGTAAACAAAAATACACACTGCCACTTTTATGGTGTTACATTGTTTAGTTTGCCTAACAGCAGAAGTGAAATTATTTAGAAAAGGAGAAAACCATGATATGGGGACTCAGACAGTTGTAGTGTTGAAATAAGAGTTTCAGTAAGACGTTGGATTTTAGGGAAAAGAAGGTAAAAAAAATAATAATTTGTTATGGAGTTTATAACAAAAAACTAAAGCATTTTCAAAAAGCTGATATTAATATTCAAGATGTTATAAACTGCATATTTTTATTCATTTACTAAAAACCATAAAAATGACCCAGTTAACATATTAGAAAAAATTATATTAAAAGCACCCAAGCATTCCTTGGATAATTTAACTTGATTTCTTTTTTAAAGGTTTCATCAGCTAGTGCCCTTTATTTGATCGTTGACAGGAGAGCGGGTAATGAGAGAAGGGGAAGACATGCGGCAAAGGTCGCCAGGCAGGGAATCAAACCTACGACAGCCATGTCAAGGACTGAGGCCTCCATATGTGGACTGTGCTTAACCCCTGCGCCACCACAGCACACTGTTTGACTTGATTTTGAATCCTACTTTTGGTGTCTTCCTCTATTCTAAGAAAGGAAAGCATGTGCAGCAGGTTCAGGAGGATTCTAGCTTCTGTTTCTTTCTCAGCTGCAGAAATATTTGACTT